TCAAAGCCTTCAAAAGCTGGTTTTAAACATCATCGAGTCAACTATTGAGCAGTTCTTCTCAAGATTTGCGAAATTCAGAGACCTGGAAGAGACAGCAAAATTCATGAGGTTTCCAGACAGCATGAAACTGGAGGAACTAAATTTAAAAATGCTTTCATGAATAGACATGGCTGACTTTGAAATGCAGTTGATTGAATTTCAGGAGTAGCTCAATTTGGAAGCAGAAATTTATTGACCTTAGAGTTGACTTGGAAAACATTGAAAAAAAGCGATTAAGAACAGGAGTACCAGAGAGAAGTGTCAAAAATAAACTATTGAGGACTTCCAATGCCATTCCAGAAAATTTCTTCTGTTTAGAAACTTTGCAACAGCGTTACTCTCCATGTTTTCATCCACGTACGCTTGTGAATCTTTGTTCTAAGTGATGCATTTTGTTAAGTCTCGTAATAGGAGTAGCCTGACGGATGAAAGTAGTAGCTTGTGCATATCTCTGAAGGTCATGAAATATAAACCTGATGTAAAATCTCTGTCATCAGTGATGCAGCAGCAAAAGTCCCACTGATAATGTCAAACGGAGTCATCAAGTTTTCTGTCGGACTATCAGTGTACATGTATACATTAAAAAATAAATGTATTTTTCATCATTATATACTGTGTTTTTTGTCGCTCGAGTGAATTTTATTATTTCTTCAAGGTTCTTCACATACGTACACCTTAAGAGATACCAAGTAGGCATAAAATGTTCTCAAAAAATTAGGGATGGCATGCAGAAGAATTTTGAGTCAGAGATTTTGCTGGTTTTGGCGCTCACTCACAAAAAGGTTGCCCACCCCTGTTCTAGACCTACTTCCCTTTCAAGCTTCCAGGTGTTAAGGGAGCATTCCCCAGAGAAGTAGGAAAAAAATGAAAGACACCCATAAGCAAGTAAGCCAGGGAGCCGTGACAGGCAGTTTGAGGAGCAAGTCTGCGCTCACTGAGGGTCTGGAGCAGTTAGGCTGGATAGATCCTGTGGAACTGTGTGGGCTGAGCTGACCAGCTCACTGAAGGCTGGCCAAGCTAAGCATCCAAACTGAGTTTATTTTATTTTTATTTTTTTGGTTGAAAACCTTTTCTCAAGTGAACTGATATGATTTAATTTTCTGTATCAAGATATAATGCAGTGGTGTCCTCAAGGCTTATTTCTTGGGACACATGGACATGTTTGATTCTATACTAATCCCTGTACCACTTGAGTCCATATGTAATTTTTGGCATTCTCCCCTTCCCTGTTTTATTTTGAGTAGTTATCTCTCATTTCTCATTACTAAATTCATGTCTGCACAATGTATCCCTCTTCTATTTTTATGTTGGCTTAGAAACAAGGAAATGAAGCTGGTTAAAACTAAGTGTAAAGCAAGAGTGAAGAGGGATTTGGTTGTGAGTACAGTCCGTACATCTCAGTGCAAGGCATCACTTTTCCTCCTACAAAACCAGTTTTCTGTTGTATTTTGAAATGACAAGGTTATCCTCCAGACACAGGAGATGTCACTGCGTTCAGAAACACATTTTATTTCTCTCAGATTTTACTCAACTTCCTCAGCTGCTTTCCCTCTCACATGAACTGTTCATCATCTCGGCAGAAATCACTGGGAATCACTGAGTTCTATTTTTGTGTAGATATATACATCAGAGTCTTGTCAGAGAGGAGGCATGGAAGATGTATCAGGTAGCTTTTGTGACTTAACAAGTCACTGTGAAACAAGCGTTTAAAGTCACAATCTTTTGTTTATTTGTTCATTTATGATTCTGTGGATCAGAAGTCAGGCTCCACTGAGGTCTTATTCTTGCTCCACTTGTGTCACTGGCAGACTTCAGCTGGGACATCTGAGATGGCTGGGAAGACTGGCCCTGTCTTACCTCAAGATGTCTCATCCTCCAGGAGGCCAGGGAGCCAGCTCAGGTTCTCCCTGTGGGTGCTGGGTTCTAAGATGGTGAGAACGGAAGCGGTGAGGCCACTTGAGACCTAAGCTCAGAAGTCCCACATTGTCACCTCAGCCATAGTCTGTAGGTCAAAGCAGGTCACAAGACCAATCCCAACTCAAGTAGTAGAGAAATACACTACATCACTGAATGAGAGAAGCTGCAAAGAAATTGTGATTATTTTCAATCCACCACAGCAGGAAACCCCAAATTCATTATTTTATGAAGGACCAATTAGGCAAAAAGTCTTCTGATTTTAAAATAATCATCTTCTCTGGCCCTGTCTAACCTCTCATTATTTGATTAGTGCTTGTGAATTTACAAAATGCTTTCTGTATTTCATTTATCCACATGACAAACTTTTGAAGTGTGTCTTCTCCTGTTTTCAGATAAAAGATTAGAAGCCCAGAGAAGTTAATGACTCACTCAGGGTCCCAAAGCTATGAAGTGGGGGCACCTCCAGTCTATGCTTGTCCCCTGCACACTTCTTATGAGGAACTCTATTTCTTTCAAAAGAGTGTGGTCTGCTTGATTATTATATTCAAGATCAGAAGGGAAGCTGGTTCTTTCCCCCAGTGTGAAGATTGCCAGTTCGGGGCTACCTGTTAAAGATGGGCACAGTTTCATCTGGGAGGCACTTTTCCCTAACCATGCATCTGTGCTTACAAATTTCAGAAGAGTTTCGTGGGAGCTCTTTTATACCAGTAACTAAATTGACTGAACTTCAACTAGAAGCATATACAGCTGCTGCTACTCAGAAAAGCAGGGCTAACAGCCATCTCCCTCAGAAAAGGTAGAAGTCGATAAGGAACTTTCATGGCTGCTAAGCGTATACAGTGAAATTTTCCAAACCTATTCCCTTCAGAAATCTACAGTAGCTACCCATTCATTGAGTTATGCCTGCCATGGTTCTCTCACACAACTATTTTTATATTCAGCTGGAAACATGTTTGACCTGTTAAATACTCATCTTTTAAAAAATGATGAAAGGAAAGCTCTGGCCAATTCTGTGAAAATCTTGAGAATTTATTAAAGGGATGTTTTAAAAATGAAATATGCATCATTGAAACAGAACCTCTACACTGGAAAAACAGTTTGAGGGTATATAGAGGGATCAGAGATCATTATTACCAACAGAGAGGGAATGTCAACCTTAACTGACTATTTTGATACATTAGTTATTTACCTAGTGCATTTCTGTGCTTCCTGTAGTTTCTCATCTTAGATGCCAAGGAAGCAGAGGTCAGGGTTCTTGGGAAATTGTTCATTGCTCAACACTGTGAATAACAGCACTGAGTTCTCAATTATGTTGTTTTGCAGCTCCCACATTTTTATTGTTGAAGCATTCTTATTTATAACTTCTCTGTTTGCCCCCAATTCGGTGAGAGAGGGCAATTTCCAAACGTATGAGTGGGGAAACAGTCTCTGAGGAGTTAAGTGGCTGTTCTAAATTCACAAATCTAGTCATGTCAAAGGAGGAGCTAAAAACCCATATTATGACTCCTTCCACCTGTCATATTGCTTTTAAAAATATATAATAAGTTATTTTTTTTCTGAACATAAAAGAAACCAATGCACTTAAAAACAAAAGACTAAAATAGAAAATAAAAATTACCTACGATCCCCACCCAGAAATGACCCCTGTTCCTCTGCCATCATTTGGCTCTCTTTTCTTTGGGTTTAGGTTGACACAGTTATGTGCATATATAGATTTTACACCTGGTGTTTGTTGTTTAGCTTGTGTTTAAACTTAGGTCAGGAATATTTTTCCATGCTATTAAAAAAAAATCTTTGAAAATGTAATTGTAAAATGCTGCAGTGATATTATGTCATATGTGTTTGCCATAAACCATTCAGTCCATGCTCTTTTGTTTGACACATAGAGAATATGTTACTTTTATTATAGTAAATAGCAATAGGGTGAAAAATTAAATATAAATCTTCTTTTATATTTCTGGGTTTTTCCTTTGATCATATTTTTATGGGACTATATGGTAAATCTATTATGATTATGAAGGCACTTGGACATTTTTTTAACTATGAATTCTGCATTAAACTCAAGTGTAATTCAGATTGTGCAAGAAAACATCTCAGTAGTAAACAACAGGGTTCTAACTACTGGAAATTCTTTTCTACTAGAGTTGGGAACATATTCAATGGATAGGGGCTTCATCTCACAGATTAGATCCTCTTCTATAGATATTGTTAATAATTTCCTTAATGGGCTTCACTGTATTACTTCTGTTCACTATATCCCTGTTCCAAGATTCCGCTTTCAAATCCACAAAATTCACCACTATGAGAGTAAAAAGGGGGAGTGAAAGAAATAACTCAAGGATAGAAAACTGGTGAGAAGGCTGTTGTAGTTATCCCTTCCTTTACATTTATTCCTTCTGCCTGAAATACTAAACATGGGGTTTGTTTGTAACCCCAACACTTGTTTATTTGCACACTCAATTAATACAAAGAAGTACTCTGCCCACTGGAAACCATAAGAAACTTTCATTTCTAATAAAGTTAATATCAATCGTTAATATCCCACATTAAAAAAAACAAACAACTCTTTCGTGGTGCTTTTATTTTTTTACCAAAGTTTAAGGGTCATGGGACCAAAAAGAGAGAAAACCACTGTGGTCCATCCCCAACCCTGATTGGTCCATTTCTTGCTCTGACCTCATAAGGCGCCATTGTGATCCGATTGCAAACCAACCCTATAAAAGGTGCTGGCTGAGCCCAGGAAGCTGTGGGTAGACGTGGTTGTTTGGATTTGTTGTTAGTAGTGGATTGGCGGATTGATTGGTTGCTTTTTACCTCTTCCTTCTCCTTCTCATTGTCCTCTTCCCCCTCCTCCTCCTCCTCCTCCTCTTCCTCCTCTTCCTCTCCCTCCTCCTCCTGCTCCCCTCCTACCACTGATCCCCTTCAGTGGAAATTTTTAAATCACCATGGGTGATTTTTTTGAAGACATCTCGGCCAAAGCGGACTGCCAGTTTGGCAATTATGCCCTCCTCAGTAAAATCGGGAGGGGCTCCTTTGGCCAGGTGAGACTGGCCCGGCACCTCAAAACCAGCATGAAGGTGGCGGTGAAAATAGTCAACTGTGAAGATCCCGCAGACGTGGCCGAAGAAATTTACTGTCTGAAAGAACTAAACCACCCGAACATCATAAAACTGTTTGAGGTGGTCAACACCAACCACCAGGTATACATGTTTATGGAATATGCCCGGGGAGGTACCTTATACAATTATCTAAAGAAGTGGGGTCGTATCTTGGAGACAGAAGCACGAGCCCCATTCCGGCAGCTGCTGTCGGCCGTCCACTACTGTCACCAAAAACATATCGTCCACCATGACATAAAACCCAAAAACATCCTGCTGGACATGGGGTTGAATATAAAACTGGCTGACTTTGGACTGAGTGCTGTGTTCTGCAAGGAGGAAAAACTCAACATCTTCTGTGGCACTCCCAACTATAAGGCCCCAGAATTGTTCGGGCTTGAACCATACGAGGGCCCGAAGGTGGACGTCTGGAGCATGGGGGTCGTGCTATACAAGATGCTGACCGGAGTACGTCCGTTTGGGGGGAAAACCTTAGAACAACTGGAGGAGCACATCTTGAGTGGGGACTTTTCTATTCCATCTTTTCTATCTGTACCGTGCCAAACACTCTTAAAGACGATGATCGACATCGACCCCGGCCGAAGACCCAACCTGGGAATTATTATGCAAAATGGCTGGGTAGATATAGGGGAGGCTGAGCAAATGACCCCATACATAGAACCAGCCTGCACTGACATCGACCCCCAGGTCACTGAAATCATGCGCACACTGGGGTATGAGCAGGAAGAGCTAGAGTCATCCCTCACGGAGAAGAAGTTTAATAGTGTGATGGGCACGTACAGGATATTAAATATGCAACTTACCACCGGCATCCAAACAATAAAAGTAACTCCCAGGTCCTCCTCTGAATCCAACATAACAGTTTGTACTACGGAGGGGACTTCGGGATCAGAGACGGAGGACAGCGACCCTCGGAATACACCAGCGAACCCAGAGTTCAGTGTGCCCTCCACCACACCACCGTGGGGCCTGGACTGGGGTATTGCCACCCCTCCAATTAGAGTGGAGGTGAAGAGGGTTATCTGGCCATGCAGTGAGCACGTGCAGAACATCAGCCAGCCTGGCAGTGAGCACGTGCAGAACATCAGCCAGCCTGGCAGTGAGCACGTGCAGAACATCAGCCAGCCTGGCAGTGAGCACGTGCAGAACATCAGCCAGCCTGGCAGTGCGCACTTGCAGAACATCAGCCAGCCTGGCAGTGCGCACTTGCAGAACATCAGCCAGGCTGGCAGTGCGCACTTGCAGAACATCAGCCAGGCTGGCAGTGCGCACTTGCAGAACATCAGCCAGTGCGCACTTGCAGAACATCAGCCAGGCTGGCAGTGCGCACTTGCAGAACATCAGCCAGGCTGGCAGTGCGTACTTGCAGAACATCAGCCAGGCTGGCAGTGCGCACTTGCAGAACATCAGCCAGGCTGGCAGTGCGCACTTGCAGAACATCAGCCAGGCTGGCAGTGCGCCCTTGCATAACATCAGCCAGCATGCCAGCGAACCCTTGCAGAACACCAGCCAGCATGTCAGCGAACAATTGAAGAGTACTTCCCAGCCAGACACCAGGGGGGAATTAAGGAAACAGAAACTGAAGCCAGAACTCCAAGGTGACAGTAACGTGTTGCCTGTCACCCAGAACAGTAGCAGCCCCAGAAGCTGCAGTGGAGGCACAGAGAGAACCACCAACAAAGGCGAAGCTAGGCCATCTTGTGAGGAGACCCGAGCCTCTTCACCTGACCATAGCCAGCGCAGAAAAGGGATGGTGAGGAGAGTTTTAGGGTTTTTAAAAAGATGCTGCTGCTGCACAGGAGAAACTAAAAAACCACGCGTAAAAATTACACGGGTGGTACCCATTTAACATTCAAACATGGAGTGTCAGGAGAGGTCAATTGGCCATAGAGTGAAGAAAAGACAATTAACTGAGTGAGACCATGACCGGACAGTACACCACAGCACACTAGACCAAAAGCGAGGGGAGGTCAGTTCACCACTGCTCACCAGCCAGAACCTGAGTGGAGGACAGCTAACCACAGCTCACTTGGGCAAACGTGAGGGGAAGTAAGTTCACCACCACTCACCGCCCAGAACCTGAGGGGAGGTCAGTTCACCACCGCTCACCGGCCAGAACCTGAGGGGAGGTCAGTTCACCACCGCTCACCGGCCAGAACCTGAGGGGAGGACAGTTCACCACCACTCACCGGCCAGAACCTGAGGGGAGGTCAGTTCACCACCGCTCACCGCCCAGAAACTGAGGGGAGGTCAGTTCACCGCTCACCGCCCAGAAACGGAAGGGAGGTCAGTTCACCACCACTCACCGGCCAGAGCCAGAGGGGAGGACAGCTAACCACAGCTCACTTGAGAAGACGCGAGGGGAAGCCTGTTCACCAACGCTCACTGACCACAATCTGAGTGGAGGACAGTTAACCATAGCTCAGTTGGGCAAACATGAGGGGAATTCAGTTCACCACCGCTCACCGGCCACAACCTGAGTGGAGGACAGCTAAGCACAGCTCACTTGGGCAAAAGTGAGGGGAAGTCAGTTCACCACCTCTCACCAGCCACAAGCTGAGTGGAGGACAGCTAAGCACAGCTCACTTGGGCTAACGCGAGGGGATGTCAATTCACCACTGCTAACCGGCCACCACCTGAGTGGAGGACAGCTAAGCACAGCTCACTTGGGCAAACGCGAAGGGAAGTCAGTTCACCACCTCTCACCGGCCACAACCTGAGTGGAGGACAGTTCACCACAGCTCACTCAGTCAAATGCGAAGGGAAGTCCGTTCACCACCGCTCACCGGCCAGAACCTGAGGGGAGGAGAGCTAACCACAGCTCACTCAGCCAAACTGGAGGGGAGCTCAGTACACCAGGGCTCACTCGGGCAAATGCGAGGGGAAGTCAGTTCACCACTGCTCACCATCCAGAAACTGAGGGGAGGACAGCTAACTGCAGCTCACTTGGCCAAACACGAGTGGAGGTCAGTTCACCACAGCTCACTTGGCCAGAAGCTAAGGGGAGGTCAGTTCACCACAGCTCACAGGCCAGAACCTGAGAGGACAGTTCACCACCACTCACTCGGCCAAACGCAAGGGGAAGTCAGTTCACCACCGCTCACGGGCCAAAACCTGAGTGGAGGACAGCTAAGCACAGCTCACTTGGGCAAACAAGCGGAAATCAATTCACCACCGCTACACTGCTAAATGCGAGGGGAGGTCAGTTCACCACAGCTCTCTTGGTCTGAACACGAGGCGAGGTCAGTTCACTACCGCTCACTAGGTCTGTATGCGAGGGGAGGTCAGTTCACCACCACTCACAGGGCTAAACGCGAGTGGAGGTCAGTTCACCACAGCTCTCTTGGCCTGAACGCGAGGCGAGGTCAGTTCACCACTGCCAGAGTCCATTCATTGTCTTCACTAGCTGAGTTTAGACAGAGACCCCCAAAAGCTAGTAACCTTTGAAGTCCTAGCAAAGGTCAGGACTGTGCACCACCCAGTTAATCTAGGAACCACCCAGTTAATTTAGGTAATAATAGTTGAAGCATCCCCACCTTAGTTCACTTAATTCCTTAGATACTTATGTAGATCCTTGTTGATTATTGTTATTCAGATACTCTGCCTTTTCCGGGAAATCTATTGATGAGCTAATCAGATACTTTGTCTATTCCTGGAAATTGTTTGCTGATCTGTGTGTCATTGAAACCTCCTTACCCTAAGGGCTACTCCAGATCAATAAAAGATTGGAGCAGCCTGAGCAGTGGTGGAAGTCCTTCGGGACTTGCCCGCCTGGTCCCCCAATATTGCAAAATTATCTCGTGTCTTTTTCTCTCATTTGTTGTGCGGCTCCTCTTTCAGATACCGAACCCTACTCCACGCAGAACGTGGAGGGAGTCTTATTCGACACACCACCACTCAGCCTGAACGCAAGGCGAGGACAGTTCACCACCGCTCACTAGGCCAGAGCAGGAGGCGAAGACAGTTCATTCAGCCAGAGCATTAGAATACAGTTCACTCAGCCAGTGCATGAGGAGAAGACAGTTCACTCAGCCAGAGCATGAGGAGAAGACAGTTCACTCGGCCAGAGCATGAGAAGAAGACAGCTCACTCGGCCAGAGCACGAGGAAAAGACAGTTCACCACAGTTTACTTGGCCAGAGCATGATGGAAGACAATTTGCCCTGCCAGAGAACGAGAGAGGAAGGGGTTTTGGGTGGCTGGGTGGAAAAGGTAAAGTAATTAAGAAGTAAAAATTGGTAGTTACAAAATATTCATGGATATGGAAATTATAGCAAAGTCAATAGAGTCACTAATAACTATGTACTCTACCAGATGGGTACTATATTTATCAGGGTGAACACTTTGTAAAGTATATGATTGTGTGACCTATACTCTATACTAAAACTAATAGAAAATAATACTATAATCTATAGTAATAAAAGAGTAATGTGCTAATTAGACTGGACAGCTGAACGACCTTCTGGATGTCATTCCGGGCATCCTTCGGGATGAAACTGCCACAGCAGGGGCTGAGGCAGAGGCAGTTAGGGGCAATCAGGCAAGTAGGCAGAGTTGTTAGGGGAGATCAGGCAGGCGGGTGAGCAGTTAGAGGTGATCAGGCAGGCAGGCAGAGTGGTTAGGGATGATGAGTCAGGCAGGTGAGTGGTTTGGGGCGATCCGGCAGGCAGGCAGAGTGGTTAGGGGCGTTCTGGCAGGGAAAGTGGTTAGGGGCAATCAGGCAGGCAGGTGGGTGATTAGGGGTGTTCAGGCAAGCAGGCAGAGTGGTTAGGAGTGATTAGGAAGGCAGGTGAGTGATTTGGGGCAATTAGGCAGGCATGCAGAGATTGTTAGGAGTGATGAGGCAGGCAGGCAGGCAGAGTGGTTACGGGCGATGAGGCAGGCAGGCGAGTGGTTAGGGGTGATCAGGCAGGCAAGCAGTTAGGGGCAATCAGGCAGGCAGGTGAATGGTTATGCAGGCAGAGTGGTTAGGGATGACCAGGCAGGCAGGCAGGCGAGTGGTTAGGGGTGATCAGGCAGGCAAGCAGTTAGGGGCAATCAGGCAGGCAGGTGAATGGTTAGGCAGGCAGAGTGGTTAGAGATGATCAGGCAGGCAGGCAGGTGAGCAGTTAGGAGCCAGTGGTCCCGGATTGCAAGACGGATGTCTGACTGCTGGTTTAGGCCTGATCCCAATCCCTGCGGGATAGGGTCTAAACCTGCTGTTGGACATCCCCCTAGGGGTCCCAGTTTGTGAGAGGGTGCAGGCTGGGCTGAGGCCCCCCTTTCCCTTCCCCCTCCCCATGCATTAATTTTGTGCACTGGGCCTCTAGTTTAAAAAATAAAAGAATAAAAATTAAAACAATTTTAAAAAGGAAGATACATTATTTTATATATCATTAAAAAAAATAGCTCTACCTAATCAAACTGACATGCTATAGGTTATTTTTTAAAATCCTGATTTCATTTTTAAAATGTGGACAATAATATAAAGAATAGCAAGTTCTGAGTGCTGTTCACATATTATTACAGTCAATTTTCATAACTGTCCTGTACAATTGAGACTACTAATGAATGCATCTGTTTTATAGTTAAGGAAACTGAGGATCACTTAAGTTGGTTGTATAGGTCAGAGTCAACAAATGTGTTTTTTAAAGTCAATATTTTAGGCTTATGGTCTTTTCCAGTACAACGCACTCTGCCTTGTAGTATGAAAGCAAATGGTGATATGCAAGTGAATAGGTGTGGTTGTGTAAGGGCAGTGGGCACTGTAGGGACAGTGTAAGGACAGCTTAACCCAGCAGTGACAGGATGCTTGCTTATCTATAATCAGTCTAGCCCTCGCTTGCTACACCGTGCAGACCCACATACTGGAACACTAAGTTTGCAGAGGTTTTGAACGGAAACCAAGTCCCTGGGTGTTGGCAGCTGGTGTCAGCTAGGGGACTGTTATAACTTACTTTTCAGCAAAATAACTTTTAGAAAAACCCCACATAGACCCAGAAGCAAGAAACAGAATCTGGGGATATATATAACTAGGTTTAGCAGAATAGATTTTGCTCAGCTTTGTTTACTGATCCCCTGAGCCAGCAGCGCTGCTGTTGGAATAAAGGTGAATTTCTGCATCTCTCGAGTGCTTGGTGGTCTATTTTCCCATCTTTGGTTACTTTGCCATAGCAGTTGTGTTTTAATAATTGCCATAGCAGTTGTGTTTTAATAAAACTTTATTTATGGTCACTGACATTTGAATTTCACAAAATCTTCATGAGTTGGGAAATATTAGTTTCAAATTTTCAGCCATTTAAGTATGAAAAAATTGTTAGCTTGTAGGTCATACAAAAACTGGTGACAGTCCATACTGGCCTTAGATTTCGTCCCTGAACCATAGGCCTTAGCCCTGGTTTAGAGTCATCTGGAGTCAGGGTTTTAATCCAGGTATGTTTCCACAAACAGGTTTTAATCTCCACCATATTGTGCTGCATAGAATAAGGAAAG